TCTGGGAGCATATCGCTCGCTTCAGCGCCCAGCCAGTGGAGAGCATCGAGAGCGTGAAATCGAGAGTGGAAAAGCTAACCGAGTCGAAAAAAGAAGCCGAAAAGGAATTGAAGCAGCTGCGAGAGAACATCAAGAACGACCGGGAGAATTGGGGTTCCGAGCGGCAGAAGTTACTGGAAGAGCGAATACGGAATAACGAGAGCAGGATCCAGGCGGAAAGGTCGAGACTCGGCGGCCCGTCGTGGCTGGACACCCTCCGCGGCGTCCTGCCCACCGTCCTCACCGTCATCGGGAAGATCATCAAACTGGTCTTTCTGGTCGCTCCGTTTTTATGAGTCGTCCGTGCGAATCGCGAGTGCACCGAAGATCCCGTTCTCCCTTGATGCATAGTCCTCGTTCCGCGGTGGTTTCATCTTGAAGGAATCTGTGAGAATACATTAGGAATGACCCAATGATCGATAGGTTTCTCTAGTTCTTCATCGCTTTCGGAAAATATGCCGTGGCAACGAGCAAAATCTTTGAATCGACATATGGGTGATTAATAATGGAGATTTAGGCAGAGTTGAAAACGCCAAACTCAAAAACCTCTTTCATAAAGGTAGTAATTACAAGATGAACAAGATGTTAGGTAAGAAGTTTCAGAAGTTTTTGATGGCTTGGATAAATTCATTAAATGTGCAGAACTTAAGGCGGGAATTCGTCCAAAAGCCTTTTTAGAATGAAAAATTTACATTATCAGACGTGTCACTCTCTTCCTACGCATTCGTCATTCATTCCAACTAGTTCCGAAAATTCATTATCTATTACCAAAGTAGAATTTGTACACGCCCTGAATAACTTCTAGTTAAATTAGCAATCACAGTCATTGACAAGGCAAGTAACGACATCTATTTCATCTGCAAGAGGTTATATGGTTTGATTATGAAGAAAGAAATTACTGAAAGCCATAATATGAACAGGTTGAAGAAGGGCAACCCAGAATCGAAAGTTCTCTTATGAGACTTGATAGCAAATTTAACACTGAAGTGGAAGAGAAAATCATGAAACCCCCCCCTTTTGTTTCATAACCCTAAGTTCCATAAGAACCCCATTATATTTAGATTCAACGCAAGCTCAGTGGGCACCCGCTTCAAATGACGTTCCCTTCTATTGAAGGCCATCCTGGACAGGTTCTGCAATAAGATTAAGCAAAAAAGCAAAACCTGTCACTGTTACTGGATTATCAACAATAACAAAAAAGTTTGCTTGCAATTAAGGCTCTTAATGACTCCCTTCTATTGAAGGCCATCCTGGACAGGTTCTGCAATAAGATTAAGCAAAAAAGCAAAACCTGTCACTGTTACTGGATTATCAACAATAACAAAAAAGTTTGCTTGCAATTAAGGCTCTTAATGACACCAAATAAGCTTCTACTGTTATATCACAGGATTTCTCTACACTTAATGCTAAAATTCCTCTGGACCTACTAAATCATAACATTCTTGACATTTTTGAAAATTATGTAGGAACAGGGCTTACCTTAAAATACACATTTGCAGACAGGGATTTCTTTTCTGACTTACTCAAGAACTTGAATGTTTGGAGAATAATTATATCCAAATAAAAATAATATATTTACGCAGAAATACATATGGGAAGTAATTACTCAACCAACATAGCAAATCTCTATTTTTTTATGAATCTAAACACATGAACGAGGTTTCTTTTCCCGATGATTACTGTTTTACCTACTAATACATTGATGAGCTCGTAGCAATTAACAATGCAAGAATACAGGCCGAAATCGAGGGCATCTGTTCGTATTTGCTCTGAAGCAGAGGGTTTCCATTTAAAAATCTGCTCTCATTCCAGAGGCAATATGATAATGGTTATCAAAAAGATTTCCTTAGAAGGCTATTAAAACTTTTTTCACAACGATCCAAGTATGATCATAATAAGTACGCTCCTAAATGAAGGAAACGGTCTTGCATCCTATTGGAGAAGATTCATGGATATTCCCGAAGTTGGACCTGTAAACAGCTTGAATGTACGGCCCTTGCAGCCCAGGTGTGACTGCAACACAGACCCGGCGCATGAATACTGTACCAGTGATTGGGCTCTTTCCCATAACTTTTGATTTTATCCTAAGAATTAACTTATCCAGGTTGTCAGGGTTGGGTTATGTGTTATTGAATTAATGTGCTTTGAGGCAAAGGCCTAGTTTAGCAGAGGCAATCTGGACACCGCTCCGATCCGTCAGCACAGTGCAATGTTGGCTGAATCCATGGTAGGCCTGCATTTTACCGGGCTACCCTCGTTTTTCTTTTTACTGCACAGGCCTGAGTCATTCCAAGCCATTCGGGGTTGTTTCTCCTGTGGACTCAGTCTTGTCGTGAATTTCGGTCGCAAGTCTGGTCAAGCCCATTTATTGCCAGCAACGGTGCTGGCAGACGTACTCAAGCCCGGGATTCTCTCTGAAAAGCTAGGTACTGCCTTTCTGAATTAATCTCGAAGCTGTAATGCCTAACGGCAGAAACAGTCTGGATATGGTGTCATGTTAAGCTTGCAGCCTCAACCCCAAGGACGCAAGCTGCACGACAATTTCTGGGATTTTTCTTCACTGTCCTTCCTCTTTTAGCTTTATTCGGCCTTGTCCTTTTTTGCCGGCTTACTCCCCACAATCTAGTCATTCAAACTGTTATGTTTGGTTGTGGAGAGATGTTATTTCGTCGCCTAGATTGATTTGAGTGTTAATGGCACCACTGTTATTTCCCTATTTACTAAATATAAATATATATTCCAGTAAGTGCATAGATAGAACATGTTTCAAAGCCAGGAAAACTGGCACTCTTCAAAAAGTGACTGGAAGGGCAGTGCGTTTACATTGCCCCCTTACAAGTCGAATATAATGTGAAGGATATATTAATACATGGACAGAAGGATAAGCCCTTGACCAGCCACCCCAGCGACCGCGGAATCCTCCATGGTGGAGGAGGAATGGGAAAGTTTGAGGTACAGTCGAAAAACTCTTTGGGGTACAATGTAAACGGTAACCTTACTTCCGCGCCGACAGAGATATGATCTTCACTGGAAGCAAGAAGCACGACCGCTATTTGAGATCTCTGTCGATCTCCGTAAGCCTCTGCGGAAATTCCAAGGTCTCCAATGGTTCTCAACGTAGTGCTCCTTTGTTGCTTCCATAGGTGAATGGGGAGAAGTCTAAGACGTTCCTTCCGTCTTTGAATTCATTCCCCTCGCATTAATGAAGGCTGCCGGCGACAAGAAAACTATCTGCATCATCGGAGTGACCGGAAGCGGGAAGTCCACCCTCGGCAACGTCCTTCTCGGGAGACCAAGAAACGACCCGACCGGATTCAAGACCAGCGCCTACAGCTCCAGCTGCACCCTCGAGGTCGAGTCCCTCGACGGTCGCTGGCTCGGAAACGGTGACGCCATCCGCGTGATGGACACGCCCGGCCACGGAGACGCGGGGGGCCGCGACCAGGAGCTCAGGAGAAAAATGGTGTCGTCGCTGGAAAAGGAAGGGGCAGTGCATGCCTTCATCTGGGTGAAGAATTCCCAAAAACCAAGATTCGACTTGCTGGAGCTAGAGCATTTCGACATATTGAAGGACATTTTTGGAGTCTCCTTTTACACCAACCTGATCGTAGTCTTCAGCAGATGGAGTTTCGATGCGAGACGAGAGAGACTCCGCCAAGACGAAGGAGTAACACTGGAAAAGGCCAAAGAAAGCCTCCACACCTCCCTCGCAGAACACTTCCCGTGGGCCAGGGACCGCCCCGTGCCCATGGCGGCCGTCGACGCTTGCTTCGCCGAGGACGATCCCGCAGAAGCGTCTGCCTTCCGAGCCGAAACGGCGTCCCTTTGGCGGTGCATCGACCAGCTCGCCGCCAGACCCGTGGAGAGCGTTCAAACGAGGCGCTTCAGAGACCAGGAGATCGAACGGGAGAAGAATCGGCAAAGGCTCCAAACCGAAATGGCAAGGAGACAGCTAATGGGGGAAAACACCAGACGAGCCGAACCGGATAGACGATGCCAAATCCTCTGAAGGGAAATTCCAAATCCATCTTCTTCATGAATTTTGTCTAATGTCAGAAATTTCCTCCTTTCGCGCGCTTTCGGCGCAATTCCGTCAAATATTTTTATTCCATCGGCGTATTCATAGTAACGAAAAATCCTTTATTTCTATCACCCATAGCGGTCTCTCGCATTTGCATAATGGAATAAAATTGCAGGGAGCCGGCAACCTCTAATTGATAGTCTCTCGTTCCATTATTGTTTTCTTTCTGCATTTCTCACATTGTAAGAATGACTTTTTTATTTCAAAGAATTGTAAATAATCGAGTTGAGTAAAATAAACATTGAGAAACGAGATCCTGTTCATCGAAGGAGTTTTATTAATTACTAGCACCATGGTGGCACCATCTGCACTCATTGATATAGGAATATAATAATTCACATAAAATATCAATTTTGACCAATCTAATTAAACATTGGCATATTTATAAGCTCCGTCAATAAATTCCCGTTGTGTGACGTCATTGGCAAACTAACAAGCGGGGATCTTTGGGCTTCCAAAATTGGTCACGCCAAGAGGTACTAATTGGTATTTTAGATATCTATACCCGTTCCAGTCGTTTTAGAGTAAAAATTTATTAAAATTGCGTTGCGTGGAAGTATTCCTGCCGTTTTGAAATGGGATGGAAAAATTAGGAATTTTCTGTGAACTATTATTTCTCTCCCCAAAAGGAAATATCACACAAAAATAGTTATTTTCTAAATACGCATCTGAGCAGGTATACGCATCCTGGCCGTACTCCAAATCTGCAGGTATTGTAGAACTCAGAGAACAGATGATAACTCCCCGGTATTAGCACTGAACCCATAGGAGCAAAGGGAAGCATGTCCTTCAAATGATATTATTGGAGAAGCGATGCCCCCCCCCCCCCNCCATGGGAAAGGACTGAAGGGAAGGCCTCGGCAGCTCATATCTGGGGGGAGCCCCCCCCCCCCCCCCCCCCCCCCCAAGATTGTCCAAAATACAGCTAAAGTATGAAACTTTGGACATGCCTTATAGTACCCTCTCTTGATATATTTTACTTTTTCTTCCCCCAAGAAGAATAAGAATGACCTCTTCCCCGACTTATTGCATCCCTGCGAGGAGGTAAATGGGAATAGGGAGGGGAAGGGATAGCCTGGAGCGGACAAGTAGCGGCACTTGATTCTGCTGTGGAGCATGCTTCTCATATAGGAGAGGAGAGAGAAGTCGGCTCTGCCTCCCTCTTTCCCTCACGCGTCACGTCTTATCCATTCTTCTCCTAGGACGAATGATTTCACTGGACTATTATGAATCAGTTTCAGTTTCCGATTCGTCGCTTCGTGATAGGGAAATCTGGGGATTCTTCGTCACGGCATGAAATCAAAGGAGGGGAATGAAGAGGGCAAGAAGAAAGGAAACGAGCTTGAACTTGACATTACCACCGATTCCCTGGCTGCAGAGGAAAGATTCCAAGGAACATCAAAAAGTAGGAAGTTTCGTGTAGAATGGACAAGTCAGTATCCTTGGTTCATTTATAGTGCAGAAAAAATGGAAAGCAACTTACGTAGTTGGTTTAAAGTGTCACGAGCAAAATTTGCTTACATTTCCCTGCATGCGAGATGCTTTCAATAGGTGTAAATTTGACAATTGGAAGAAGGCGCTCGTGCGCTTTGCCATCCATGCAAAATCTCAGTGTCACAAGGAAGGCGTCTTGAAGATGCTGTCATTGCAGGAAAGTGTCAGTGCTGTGTGACATGTGAAAATTCGGTGTCATTTCATGTTCCTATATTGAAATAAATTCCTGCCTATGGTCATCAAACTCTTTGAGCAAAGATAATCATAAAAACATAGTGGCAGACACACAAGTTCATCACTCCGGCGTTTTCATGCAGTAAATCTTTATACACTATGGGGATTTATAGCGCTAAAATGATACCTATTTTCGGGCACGACGACTCTAACGAAGTTCCCGTTTTTGAAACCCTTTCGGAGGCTACATAATTTTTGAATGAGAAAATGAATAATTCCATGAATGCAGCTGATAACCTTTTTCACTGCCAAACCCATCATTTCCCGTGTTCTCGAATCCTTTCGCATAACCTCTAAGCGAAAAATCCATAGCCTAGTAGACCTCGCGCGTTTGGCTTCGGTCAGAATGACCGAAATGTACATTGCAGTGGAAGTTTTGCCGCTCTCGCTCCGTTGAAGAAAATGTGTGCACAAACTGTACATAGCATTGACCTAAGCGTACGTAAGTGGATGGAGCATGCCCACTCTGAATTACAATGTGTAGGAAAAACCTTCCTGCTCGATTCTCTGCTGGGAAACACCGTAAATGTAACCCATTCACGTCAACCTGTGTCCTTCCACCTAGAGGCCTTGTGGAAGGACAATTATGACCTAGAATGGCATAGGCCAAAAGGCCTTGCGCCTCAGGCTAATGAAGCCCGATTCTCGGTCAGACAGACAGAAGTTCCTGAATGGCGAATGGGTCAAGATTGGTGTCGGCCTGGGCGTCTCTCCGAATGTTTCATATAGGCCTGCTAAATCAGTCTCCTCATGATACGCACCTTCCAAGTCCAACTCCACGTGTAGTATGCAATCCAATTTAGTTATTTCATTTTCCTGTCGCTTCGTTGAAGGAAAGAAAGTGCACGAGAGTAGTATTAGATTAGCACTTTGCGTACCGTTCACGGAGATCTCCGATTTTGAGTCCTTTTGCGAGTCCTGTTTGCAGGCCTATGGCCAAAAAAGTCTTAGCCTTGTATGTATCGCACTTTAGGCTAAGGTAAATGAGGTTTAGATTGGAGCGGTGGATCGACGGGGTGAAATGTCCACATGTGCATTAGGCTAAGGCATTCGAAGTCAGTCCGCTTTCGGGGCATGCACCACCGCAGTTTGCTTCTAAAGCCTGCAACCAAACAGCCGTCCGTGTTTCATTTATTGCAGGAAGTAGAAGAGAGCTGTAAGGCTAAGTATCTAACCATGGGTTATACTTAAGCCTACGATATGTGCCCCCAAAGCATGTACCTCCGATGTCCCACTTACTCTGGTGACAGCAAAGTAACATCAAGAGTCAAAATAGTTAGTGACATCATTATTAATGACATTATTCAAGTTCCTTTCAGCTTCGTAGAAGGACGAGTATATGTGAGAATGGCAGATGCCTAAGCGTCCTTCTTTGGGTTTGGCATAGGCTTACATCATCAGTTTCCCCAAAAGGTGCTCCCTGGTCATGTACCCTCAAAATCTGAATTTCTCTGGAGACAGCAATCTAACAGCTATCCGCACGTCATATGACAACCTCTCTTCATATTTAGAGAACTGTTAGAATTAGCGTCAGTCAGTCGCTCACTATCGTTCATATACGGTGTGTAGTGTCAGGAATCGCAGGGTTCTACGTCCCAGAGAGGCCTAGCCCTGTGGGCCTTGCGCTTCAGCCATTGCGAAGTCCCCTAGGCTGGGCCATCAATACTTAGAGATTCCTGACGTTATTGAATCTTTAATGTAAAAGGTTACCTTTTTGCATAATTAATTTGGGTAATTTATAAGGGAGATTGCGTACACTTCCTGCAGCAATTCGCAGGCCTTGGAAGCAGATATCTGGAAGCCTATGGAGACGTTTCAATGAGGGAATTTTTAGTAGGCGTTGCGAGCGTTTCTTTGCATCTCCATGTTCGAGACACGGGAGAGGAGTGGCATTTTCGTTGACTGATGGAGACGCAAAACGGGCGATTCTGATTTTATGGCATCGAATCATAGAGCGTCTATAGATATCTCTGGAGAGGCCTTCGCTGCCTCGAAACTTACAAGTGCTTCCGCCTTCTTCGTGAAGTCTTGGTGAAGTGGGAATGAAAAGCGTGATTGGTTGGGTCCCGGCGTGGAGTCCCCCCAGGCAATATAGCTCGGGGAAAGTTGCCTCTTTTGTCCTCTCTCTCTCCATGTGTCTGCTATGAACTCCTTGCTCGTGCGACTTCAGTAAGGTGGCGGCCGCGCCTGGAATGGTGCAGAAACTCGTGCCATAGGGGAGGTCCCTCCATTATACACTCTCTATGCATCGAATTAGCGTGAACTTGGCCAGCCCGCTGCTTCTTCTGTGTCTCGAAGGGAGTCACATTACCGCGACGAAGCGCATTCGTTCCGCGCATCAGACCGAAAGTGGGGAAAATTCATTGCGCGTTTTGGAGAGTGAAAATTTCAAGTTGTCGACTGCTCTGACCTCTAATTCGAAGAACAAAGAAGGAAGTCCGAGGCCGTGATCTTTGTGCAAACTGACGCATCGATTTTTCCCCGAAATTTCTTTGAGCTTATCTTATCACTAGACCAACAACTTTCCATGGGAAACTGTTACATTTCTCCTTATGTGTTTGGCCACAATGTTTTTCTTCATAAGAGGGCCTTCCGTTCGTGCCTCTCTATCCCTTTCGTTTCATCGTTCCGACCTTTCAGGCTTCGCATTCCGAATTCATCGTGCATGTTTCGGATGGGAAGACGATGTCGAGCACCGAGTTCGACTTCGACTCGAGCTCGACTCCGAGAGACCGCGACGAAACGAAAAGCTCGATGGATTGTTCAATTCCCTTGGAGTTTCTGGTTTTCGCGATTTGAGGCGCAAAAAGAACGAACCACAAGGTGGAAATCGAACGACGTAAAATCGTCAGGATCTGTGAGACGGTCCTGCCGGCCGGATCATACTTCTCGGCAGTGGGACCTCATACAACTCGTTAAAATTTGTCTGGACTTGAATTTCCGCCAATTAGAAAAACGCGTGGGTCACACCGAAAGTTTTTAAATTACAGTAGCTCAAGCGAACTGAGACAATAAATCAATATATTCTCATCTATCTGATGTACTTGAATGCCCAACTACGTTCTTGTTTTCATGTTACTAAGCATATATTGGCGTGCACTCGTTGCCCTTCTTCCAGGAATGAGATGATCATGGACTGAGTTTTCTTATATTCATGATCTTTTCTCTCACCTTGTTTTTTCTTTCATCACAAGTGGATA